TATTGGCAAACACTCGTCTTCAAATGCATCTTTAGCAAGCTTTATCGCTTTGGCTTCTAGTTTGGCTGCTGCTAATTTTTGAAGGATTTGAAGTTGTTCAATCGTCTCCTCTTCGTGTTTACTTTCACTGTCTGCCAAGACACTGCTGATAACTTGCCCCATGTTGGATGTTGATCGATTGAAGCGAATGCAATAATTAGGTAGAGTTTTCTGATCGTATTCTGTGAAACCAGTGGCTTCCTCGAAGCTGTTTTCTAGGAAATCTCAGACTTCTGAGAAAAAGGTCTGTCGTGACCTGTTCCGGAAGTGAAAATAATGCAGATACTAAAAATAGCAGATAAAATGATGGATAACTCTCTCTTGGAAACTTACCGCGCCCACTTAACCTTAGAGCAATAATTTTATAATTATTCACAAAAATATTCACTCAAAATGTTTTTAATTATTATAAAGCTTACAAGATGGGTTGAATGGTCTTGTGTTCTTTATTACAATAGATTTATAATTCAGTAAGGGCGTTGATAGGCAATTCAAAGATCCCCTGCATGGTTAAATTGGAATTAAAGTAAAGGTAAATACCCTTTTTTGTCTGTATAATGCGTGACTGAACTAATTAAACATGGACTGTTTCCGGTTATTTCGCCACTTAAAGGCCTGATTTCTTAGAAATCACCAATATCATAGAGCAATGGTATAGCTTCGAATATTTTTTTTCGTGATATTCAAAATAGATGACGGTAGAAGACTTTATTCAACGTTATCGAGGGTTGCACGTAATCGCTACAAAGTTGATAAACTTATTGTGGCCCTTAATAACAACATCCAGGTACTTCAATTTGTCTTACCTGCACTGAACATGCACCTCTTGTATTCAGTAACAAAATGAGATGCGGTCTTGTCTGGTGCTATGCTCGGTTACGAACTGATTTACTGCACTGTTTAGTTGAATYTCGCTTTAGGATTCGTTTTCGATGCTGAGGTTTTTTGCACATGTCAAAAAGCCCGATATATAAAGATCACTGTTTTTGTACTGATTGAAAAACCTTCTTAACTGTACCGTCGAAGAGTGGAAAAAAGTTCGAGCGTTGATCTTCACCGCCGAAATTTAATCTTTGCCGGTTGACTGAGAAATCATCGCCCTCCCCTCTTCCTGTCCATTTCCGCAATCAATCGATATTCCTTTTTTGTCTCTGCTTTTAAAAACTGAAATTGATATGACCCTCAATGCAGGCTAAGGCGTTGCCATTTTCAATAACCTCCTCCCCCCCCCCCCCCCCCCAAAAAAAAAAAAAAAAAAAAAACCTTCACCAAAGCGCTGCTACGCAGGCTACAGCGTACTGGCAAAGCACTATTAAGTATCAAAAAACTTGACTTTTTTCCTTTTTTTATTTTACTTATTAGTTTAGTTTAGTTTAGTTTATTTGTCACAATATAAACATACATTTTATAAAAATGGAGACAAATTTTGTGACTGGCGAAGAGAAGAGAGCTTTCGCCCCAATTGATATTCCCTCTCCATACAATATACATACAATACAAACATGATTAACATTAAAATTGACGAGGAAAAAACAATAATTAAAAGAAAAACATATTGAAATTTATCTAAACTCAAATTCAAAAGATTTAAATGTGTTAAGTAATGTTTCATTTTCGAAGCAAAATATGTGGTCACAAGTTCCTTAAATTTGGATGAGTCATGATCAGTCCAGTCGGTTTACTAATTATTAAAGCGACTAGTTAATAAGTTTTACTTTTCAGACAGCTCATTGCGAGTTCTTTTCCTATATATTTTGAGTCTCTAGCTAGATATAAATCATATCAGTAATGTTCCATATTAAATCAATGAATCTTGTAATCCTCAGAATTTTTGAAGTCTACTCTCCTTGGTTTTCCAGGCTCTTTCATTCAAGTCAAACGGGTTTGGAAAATGTCGTCTACCACTATTCAGAAACTGATATTCCCTCAGACTTACAGGTAGAAAGCTGTCATGCAGCAATGTTGCGTTGCCAATGCGGCCAACGTTGGATGAATCAAGGCCTCGCCAAGTGGAGTGAGACATACTCGATGATGAAGTCTGCTGGGGCTCACTGATTTCAGATTTCTTTTCACTACTGGAAGAACTTCCATGTTGCACATCTGCTGCTCGTGTCGGCCCTATTTCACCACCTGATGCAGCCTTTCGTAGTCGGTTAATAACATGATACAAATGTTCCAAGAGGTTGGCATCTTCTTCAAGAGTTTCGCTGGCTTTTCTGATTTCGTCTCCGCTTCCAATCGATTTACCCAATTCATAAAGAGCTACTTGTGGGTCAACTCTAAGGTTATCCAGCACTCCAATTTGGACAACGTAGCTAAAGGCATTCCTGAACTTGTCTCTCAGTCCATGTGATCCAAACT